ACTAAATCATTTGATATTTTATAGGCAAAGTTTCTTCCATTGCTTCTCTTTTGTCAATTTTTTCTTGATTTTGACAAAATTATTTTTAGAAATGTGAAAAAGTAAATAGTAGAGAAAACGTGACCCTAGATGGATAGACAATATTAAAAATACTACTTACTATTCAAAGTTATTTATAAATTTAATGTAAGTATAAAAGAGTTATCAGTAACTTATATAATTTGATATAAATTTTAATTCATTGTCTAATTAGGTCTTAGTGAAGTTTTATAATTTTCTTTAGTCTTAACATTCTTCATTAAGTTTATTTCTATGTATTTTATATTTTGTAGCTTTTGATATAGTTTGATTAGATATTGCTAGTCATGGTAAACTACATTTTCAAAATTATTTTCTTTTATTATTCAATATTGTACTAAGCACACTTCTCTCTTTTCAATTCAAATATATTTCAGTAATAAATCTTGTATTTTTACAGTAAAAAATTATATAACCTATAAGCAAATAAGTTTATATTCTCATTAGAAATCTTTTCATCTTATGTATTATGTTTTATTTTCTTGTAAAATTTCTTAGATAACGACTAGTAGCAACTATAGTAACACATTTCTTTTATTTCTTACATTAATGGAAACATCTCTGGTATTTCTCCATATTAGTTTCTTCTAAAGTCTGTCTTCCTTACCATATTAAAGATGTGTCTCTAATTTATTATGGTTGTAATTTATTAATATGATTATTTAAAAATAATCATAAATAGATATTGGATATTAGCAACTCCTGGATCTTTGGAGATGGTGATTAATTTCTAAATTTTAGACTTTTCTTAAGGAATCTTAGGGTTTATTTAATTTTCAACAGATATATTAATTTATTTTAGAGGCCAAGGCTGCATTTAATAAGTTTGAATAAAGAACCTAAAAAACACCTAAAGCAGCTCAATCTATTTTAAACACTTTTATTTACTCAACATTGGTGGCATTTGTCTGTACATCATTGGTCTTTCCAACAGTCTTCTGACTAAGTGTGAATCACTCTTATTACCTAGTGCTTATTTTTCAAATTTGCTGACAAATATGCTCCACCATAACCCTGGCAAGTAGTTGCTAAAAGTATCCCAATAATTCTATTAGAGAAATTAATTTAGTCCAATGTGAGTAACTCCAAGTGAAACCATGTTAATTGCAACTGTTTACAAAATATCCATATGATAAAGTCAGAATTCTGGACATCTGTGTTAAGCTCGAATCAAAACAAACACTAAAATATATCGCTATTTATTTTTCTATATTTGTCAACAGTAACTTAACTTTAAGAGAGGTTCTAAATGTAATATTATAATCCCTTTACTTTGGAAAGTAAGAAATTGAGATTCAAAGATTCACCCACTTCCATTTCATTGACCAGGATTTACCAGGACTTTCATTCATAAAGGAATCCTCTAGGATGCTCCCACTCCCCCCCTGGATTCCATATGAAGTAGGAGTCAGGGCTTTAGGTTCTAACTGCTTTAAAATACCCATGTACATATAAGACTAAATTTTATCTGTAGCTCTGGCCAACTAACCTTAAACTGCATTTCCCAGAAAGGCTCCTTTGCCTTTGTCTCTCTTCAGCATTTCACAAACTGTAGCTGCTCTGAGTTCTGAGTGTAACTGCAGCTCAGCTTCTTGGGTCATTAAGCATCTGATAATGTTTTCTCAACCTTCTGCCCCCAGTGGCATTTTTTCCCCCTTGAGCTCCTAGCCTGAGGCTTTTCAGACAACAACGATTTTTTATTTTTGTCTCTATTGACTTTTTGAAATACTGTGCTATAATAGTAATATCAAGTTTTAAAAAATTAATCATCAATTGAACAGCACAGATATGTACAATGAGGCAAAAGTTCATCTCTGCCCAAGAAAAGGAAGGAACTGTAGAATGAAATTGAGCAAATTATGCTATGTACATACATGAATATGCCACAATGAATTCCACCTTTATGTATATAAAGCATCAATTAAAAAATAAATTAATAGAAGGAAGACCAGTAGAGTAAAAGAAGAAAAAAAGGGTGGGGTGAGGTGGGGAGGGAAAGAGGAAATACTGGGGACTGAGTGGAGCAAATTATGTTCCATGCATGTATGATTATSTATAACTAAAATGCAATAATAAAAACATTAAAAAGGACATCCCTCCATCCACCCACAGAGACATGTAGCCCACATTATCCTCAAGTTTCAGTTAACAACTGAACTGTTCTTATTCCAAAGTTATAAACATGTTACATAAGCACATATAACCCACAACTGCATCAAGCACCCAACTTTGTGAAACTATAAGTTGTTCACTCATCTAATATTTTTAATCTTTATTTTTATTTGTTTATTTTTATGTGGTGCTGAGGATCGAACCTAGGGCCTCATCTGTGCAAGGCAAGCGATCTACCACTGAGCTACAGCCCCAGCTCCCATTCATCTAATATTTTTAAATTTTCAATCTATTGTTCTTTCTCCCAACATTCATTATTCTAGATCTACTCAACACTTCTGTACTTGATTTAGAAATATTGATATAGTAATTTTTACTGGTTTTACTGTGTTTTAAATGTAATTAAAGAGTTAAAACTGCATAGATAACTATAGTTTGTACAAAGTTAGACTGAGGTGTCTTCAGTAACTATAGATCTGCTTACAGATGAATCAACTGAGGCAGAGAGACATTAAATGTCCCCTCTGAAATTACACAGCTTCAGCAGTGAAAGGCTGGAATGAAAACACAGGCTTCCAGAATTTCAGTCATCTGGTCTTTCCACTTCATCAAATCATAATTCTCTCAGAATCCTCTAATCCCTTTACACCACCATCTCCCTCTAGGGAGCTCCATAGATGCCCTGGTTTTATTGGTCTAGAACCCACTGTACTTCAAATAACAGAAAAAAAGGATGTCTTATTTTGCCAAATAATAAATTGATGTAACCTTATAAGTTTACTGTAAWAATTTTTTCAGTGTGAAGGTTGCTATGTGTAAATGAAAAACAGTGTTATGAGAAAAAGCACAAACAGCTCAAACAACTATAACAACAAAATAAATTCTGTCTCAATTTTTTAAAGACTAGCACTTAACTAACACCATACATGTTTTCTAACTTTGCTTTAACTTACAGAATTTGAGCCAAGTAGAAAACATTTGAACGTTATATTTCCCTACTAAATTGTTTCCTATATATGGTGTTCTCAGATTACCTCAGCACTATTTAAATAAAACATTTATTAACCAATTCATTCAAATCTCAGAGCTGTTGAGTACTTACAGATAAGTTTCCATAAGCCAATAAATTTCAAGTGGAGTATTTTATTGCTGGGTAAAGTGACCAGGAAATAGAATAAAATCATAGCTCCATGTGTTGAGAAATAAAAAAAGAAAGCTCTTAAATTAAGAATAAACAACTTCAGAAAGATCTAGGTTAGTTTTTCAAGGAAAATGTCTTTTTAGTGTCCAAGAAGTTTTCTTTTTCTTTTATACTTCATCCCTCTTTCATCCATCCACCCATTCCACACACCTGTATCAATCACAGGGCTAGACCCTCAGGGTTTTCCTCTCTGAGCTTTGATTCTTGATGTATTGGCAAAGTAAAACTTTCTAAATTTGCACTCCCCACCCCTTTGCTCACCCATCCATTTCATTGCATACCTGTTCACTGGAAGCAAAGATACCTTAGGTTTTCATACACTAACTTTCTTCAATCCAGTTATAATGTGCTTCTAACATTTTTGTGGCTGGCCACATGTATGTCTCAAGTAGTACCTTCTTGGGGAAGCCTCTTACAACCACATAATCTGAAGTAGTCAGCCACCAGTTAACAAAACATCAACCTGTCTTATTTTCATTGTGCCCTTGTTTCTGATATTTTCTTATGTGCTTCTTTAATCTCTCCCCCCCCCCCCCCCCCCCCGCCCCATGAAATCTCTATGAGCACAGACAGGTGTCTTCATTGTTTCTGAATCCTAGAACAGTGCTGGGCATACAGTGGTTTTCATTAAATATTAGTGAATAAATGAATGGATTCCGAATTGATTGACCCTGTTTTTCACTACTATGGACACTGATTCATTCATAATGAGAATTTCTCACATATATGCAGATTATGGGAATTTTAAGTGATGACTTAAAACGGTTTTGAAATATGAGAAACAGCTGTCCGAGAAGAATTCCATCATTCACAGTGATGGAAGGATTCTTCTCCCAAGGATGTAAGAAAATGCTTTTCCTATTTTTGTTGGTTTGCTCAGAAACTGGGAACATCTGGCGTTGAGAATATAGAGTTGTTCATTTTAGAGTAGAGTCTTAGTAACTTCGGGGATTGGGAGTAGGAGCAAAAATGCCCTAAGAAAATGAAGGCAATATGGAGGAAGGGGAGACTCCATGCCCCTTTTATAAAACTGGTCCTTTGTTTCTAAATCGAGTATTACTTAGGGGAAGCTTCCTAGAAAGTCCTCAGTCGGTGTTGTTACTAAATAAGCAGACTCTGGCAGCAGTACCCCCTCCCCCAGAGCGCTTGTCTGGCTCCGCCTAGTTTAGGTTTATTCAGACCCTGGAAGTTGTAGTTGCAGGACCGGCTTTGACTGCTTTCTAGAACGCCCTTCTGATCCCTTTAAAGGTGGGGATCATGACGGAGGATGCGGGGGAAGAAGGCGGGAGCCGAGGGTTGGAGACTCGCGGTTGACATAGTAACTTCAGCTTGGTTTCTCTTGCTCTTGGTTCTCAGGCTCCGTAGCCACCCTCGGCCCCTCCTGTGCACTCTGTCCCGGCGCCCTGCCCGCCTCCCAGTGAGGTCCGCTCAGCCAGAAGAGCTCAGTTCAAGGTCCCCTTTGCGCCCCCCCTCACCAGTGACTTCTCCTCCGCGCGGAGCCCAGACTGCTAGGCGTTTGCATCCTCTGCCTCATCCTTGTCCCTTAGGCATCGGTTTGTCCCGGACCAGTTCGGCAGTTAAAGGGGCCTCAAGGTACCAGGTTCCTGTTGGAACTGCGGACCCCTCCTCCTGGAACAGGGCCCAGGCCAGTGGAGCGTTCTTGCCATGAACCAGAACCCTGCCTTCGTGCCCCGGCGGGGCGGCTCTCCTTCGGCGGCGGCTGCCGGAGCCGGCGCGCGGCGSAACGAAAGCCAGGACTATCTGCTCATGGACTCGGAACTGGGAGATGAAGACTGCCCGCAGCTCCCGCTGCCTCCCTACGGCTACTACCCCTGCTTGTAAGTGCGGRTAGCCAGGCGGGGCGGGCTCGGGGTGCACCGCCGGAGGCTGTACGCTCAAAGGAGTGTAAGAGCCAGGTCCGCGCGCGCGCTTGAACTCGCGTGTGTGCCTCTAAGGATTGGTGACTGCAGCTCCGCGCGAGCCAGGTCTGGGTCCTCAGCGAGTAGAGTGGTAAAGGCGGCTCTGGGTTTGGTCTTGGTGAGCATGTAGGGGTCTGTTTGCTCAGAAGATGATACAGCAGAGTGCCAACCGCATTACAGGTGATCAGGTAGCTGGTCAATTTCTTCATCGTGGGTAACTTTGCGCCCCCAACAGATTCAGTATTGCTGCGCAACAGGCATGATTGAATAGGGGGCTGATTCAACTGTGCGGGGGGGGGGGGGCGTGACAGTCTATGTGGGAGAAGTGACTAAACTCTAAGGGTCTTTGGAGCTGACTTGATGTGTGCAGGGGAACTCCAGAACCCCAGCGCGGRCGCTCTCCCAAGTTGTGCGTCTCAGCCCTTCTGGCGGTGCACACATCTTTGGGGCAATCAGCCAGCCAGAAAGTTCGGAAGTGTGAGTGTAAAGGGTAGACCTGCCTTTTAGCCCCCAGACATCCTCCTGTCCATTCTGGGCGTTGGGGTTAAGCCAGGGAAATAGAACCAATCGGGCTTTTGCATTGGCGGTGCGAAGCTTTTACCGAGGGCGTCAGAGGAGATGAGTCTGTTAAGAGTGCGGATCCAGAGACCCCCGAAATGTAGGAGGGAGGACGTTTGGGTCCTTTATAGTGGCCTCTGAGTAACTGCAAACCTTTAAGTATCTGAACTTTGGGGAGGGAGGGGTTGTGGGCGGGCAGAGGGTGGAATGGAGGACAAGAAAAGTCCTCACTTTCCCACAGGCTATGTGACTGACCATGCCTGCAGCTGGCAGACAGCATTTCTGCCTCTTTGCCCCTTTGATGTATTGGTTAGGTCAATTTCCTGCCCTGTCACATCCATCCGCAAGCTGTTTCCCGAGAAAAGCGGTTCTCATACATTTGAATCAAATGGGGTATAATTTCTCCTTTTCCCAAGTGTACAGGTTGCAGAATCACATTGGTTATACAGACACGTATATACATACAGAAATACTAGTGTCTATTTTATTCTGCTGCCCTTCTTATCCCAAGATCATTGTATTGTCATGAGCAACTAATAAAAATAAATAAATAAATGAAAAAAAAAAGAGAACACTTTACAGGTGATTAGTGAGGAAATTTCAAAGTATATAGAGAACTTTAAAGAATCATTATCTTTTTCACCTTATATTCAGTCTCCCTTTTTCTCAGAATTTAAACTTAGTTAATATTTTAATATCTATTCCTCCAAATAAATAAACAGTATTCATACACACAAAAAAAAGAGAGAAAAAAGAAAAGAAAGAAAAGCGGTTCTCACCTCTGTAAACAGCTCTAGGTTGGAGGGACCTTTCAGCCCGATGGTCTGGCAGACCCTCGGGTGGATGGGCATACCTTTCAGCGTTGGTCAGTGCTGCCAGAGTCAAAGCCAGCTGTGAGTCCCTTGTGCAGTACGAACTGAACCCCAGGAGACGGGACCTCTAATTTTTCTCCAAGATGAAAGAAAATAGTTGGAACTGGTTCCATTCATCCATGTGCTGTACAGTTGTAAGCGTTYACCACAATTTATCCTTTCTTTCCTTTTTAAAAAGATAAAAGTCACATAGCGAAGAATTCACCCATTTTAAATTGTACAGTTCAGTTTTGTTTAATTCATCCCATTAAGTTTGGGAATCATCRCCAATATCTAATTCCAGGACATTTTCATCATCCCCAAAACAAAATTTATACTTGGTGTTAAATTAGAAAATATTTCTAAACCTCATCATATAGAATTTTTGAACCTTAATGGACATAAGAATTTCCTGGAGATTTTGTTTAAATGCAGATTCTGAATCTCTGCATCAGAAATTGTGCCTTTCTAACAATTGTTCAGGTGACATCAGGCTGATATCCATGGACTACATTCTAAACTGGCAAGAAGATACATACCAAGAAAAAAATAGAAAACCAAATCTTGTATATTAGGAATGCAGCGCTTCTTGCTTTGAAAATATATATCTAAAACATAGATGGACTTTTAAAATTGGGTTTAAATTGAGTTCTACTAAGCCTCAGTGTTGTATGCTTGGTAACATTACTTGTTGAGTTAACTCAGTGACTTAACACTGTTGGTCCTTCCTTCCTTCCTTCCTTCCTTCCTTCCTTCCTTCCTTCCTTCCTTCCTTCCTTCCTTCCTTCCTGTCTTTTCTTCTTTCATAAAAAAGTAGATTATCTCATGAAAGAACCTTTTCTTTTTTTATTTTATAATCTCTATTGTCACTTGTTTCTGTGTCTGTGGGAAAGAATGGTTTGATTTTAAAAACTTGTGGTTGTAAGAATAAATAATTCATCCCAAGTTCTCCTGAAAACTTTCCCCAGTGATTTCTTCAAATGTGGCTTACTGCTTAATTGAATTATATATATATATAATTGTCTACAATTTCTCTCCTTTAGTTCAGGAATCCCACACTATCCTTAAAAGTATAGAACTGATAGAGGGATGAACGGAAATATTTTAAAGTGCTTCAATTCAAYTCATGGTACTCTCTGTGTCAGGTTTAATGTACTATAATACATTTAAGTGTGAACCATGTTCCAGAATTAGAACTCGGTGTTATCTGAATCTATTATTGCCCAAAGTTTCTATAGATACCTTTCATCAACTGTTTTCTTTGATCAGGATTTTATTTTATTTTTCAGGTGAATAATCAAGTAACTAAAAACTTTTAACCAATAGACTACAATCTATGATGTATGAGAAAAAGTTAAAGAAAATTCCTTTCTTCTGGTAAAAAAGTATAAATAAACTCTCCCATATGTATTTAGCTTGTGATTTAAGCAATTGTGCATATTATTTGTAATAGTGGCAATCAGCARTTACTTTAGATACAGTATGACTGTTTTCTCAAGTCATGGAGATTTTCCCTTAGAAGATTCAAATCGTTGTAAACTGTCATTTCTATGGCATAAATACTGTGACTCTTGTTAAAATATTGTTTCACAGTTCACTTCTATAGGAAGATTTTAACATTTTTGGAATTTTTGTACTGGAAATTGTAGTAAATTGTCTTGTTTGAGAGTAATTACATATTCTCAGGTCTGAATAGGATAAAATAACATTTTGAAATGATGCTTAGAAGAAGAATCTCTCATGTTCTTTTATTCCAACTTTCAGTTGCAAATATACTCCATTATAATCAATTTTTAAATGATGATTAGCAGGAAAAGTTCAAGTCCTGCTAAAGTCCCAGGAGGTATATCAAAGTTCCTTTATTTAAAATTTAAAAAATATAACTCTAGACTATTACTTTTGAACATGATAAAAAATCTCAGACATATCCACTAAGGACTTCTAAAAGAAGAAGAAATGAAACAGTCCTACTGAACTTTTACTTGGGAAGAACTAATTGATTAATTTTGAAAAATTAATCAGTAAATTAAAGGTCTGGCAATATAGTAGACTAAGATAATTAAAAAAAACTTGTGATTATAAACACCAAGAAATACTGGTGTTTCTGGATAAAATATTTTAAATGATTTAAAAACTTTGCTTAATTTTCAAAAACTAAAGGGAGTACCATGTGCAAGAGCATAATAGTTAAAATCCAGAGTGTAGATTGTGAAGGGATGCTGTGGCCAGTCTGGGAAGTAAGAGGCCTCAGTGACTAAGGCACTTGGGGTCTTATATCCATATGAGACAAAAAGAAGGTAAGGCCTTGTTTTCAAATGGAGCAGAGAGCTGGAACTGAGACATTGCTTGCATAAAACTAGAACCATATTCTATTGAAGAGTTAGGCTAGAAAATTATGCCCACCAGCACAGAGGGAGATCAAGAAACTACTAGTAAGAAGAAAAAAAAAAAAACTTCCCTGGAGAATTTTGTTTTAGGGTTTATATGCACATGCCATGTGAGGTTTTAATTTTTTTTTTTTAACTAGACCTAGAAAATCTCAAACTAAAAACTACCCTTGGGACTCCTAGAAGAGTAAAACACAAAGCATGATGAAAGAAACATCCCAACCATGTAGACGGCTTAGAATTTTCATGAATAAAACAAGCCCTGCTAAAGATATATTCACTGTAATCAATGACAAAATACAAGGAAACAGTCCACAAAGTCAGTGGACAATACAATCCATGTGTGTGTCAACRTAAGGTATAACATCACTGTTGGATCCTTAGCGACTTGAGATAATGTAACAACATGAAAGGGAATATAAAATAAATATGTATAAAAGTGCTGACAATATAAAAAAATATAAAACCCTAAGAAAAAGAGTTGCCTTAAAAAATAGACAAAGAGAACATTTATAAATGAAAAATATAATTATTAAAGTAGGGAAAAAACTCAATGGAAGGATTAAAATGCAGATTAGACATAGCATAACTGATGATAATGTGAAAAATGCAGAGACATAGAGAAATAGAAGATATAAATATTGTTAAGAGTTATGAAATTGGAAGGTAGGGTTTCCAAAAGAAGAATGGRGGAAATGTATCATTTGAATAGATAATGGGTGATTTTCTAGAAATGATAAATTCTCATGTTCATAAAGTACAATAATATTAGTGTGTACATAAAAAGAAACCATTTAAACATATCATTTAAATTTCAGAACATCCAACAAAGATGAAAGGAAATATTAAAAATTAACCAAAACACAGGGACTTGGAAATATTTAAAATGGAAATACACTCATATGTATTTTGATATACAGATTATATCATGTGTAGCTTTCAAGAACTATGGTTTTTCTTTTGCATAGAAGCATTCTTTATTGATGTAGAATTGTATGCAAAATCAGTGTTCCAGGTTGATAGGGTTGCTTTAAATGTGGATGTGGACAAACAACTTTACAGGGTTRTATCACTGAATCACAGTCCTAGGAGAAACCAAGAACCTTAATTCAATTCCCCATTT